CAGACAGACAAAGCTACCCTTTATATTTCCCCAGACATCTTTTAGTGCTGTTTTTAGCATCCTTCAGTCCTAACAACAGTTTCTGAATATGCATTTAATACACAGAATATTCATACGTACATGGGGATTTTTTTTGCATATAAAGTATCAGAATTAGTTAATACACTTTAAAAAACCAACAGCTATTTGCCAGGCTGATTCCCCAATGCCAATAAAGACAGGCACTGCTCCACATACACACATGTACCCCCATAACGAAGCATGCAGTTTATTCACCTATCTATACTATTTTGAACTTAAGCACATTCCTTCAAATTATCTGCAAGATACTTTTTTCCTTTCCTTCAAATTGTCTTTCAAGGCCAGAGCAATGGGATAACTCTTGAGACTGTGACAGAGTTAAGGTAGAGAAATGTGCCTCTATTAATAAGCAATAATCAAAATACCTTATGAATAATGACACAAACATAGTGTCTAGGTCTTTATCTTCCTCTTTTTGCATACTGCATACTCTCTTTCACATGATATTTAGCTTGCAGCACAATGTTATGGCACTTACAACAATTAATACATGAACACCTACCAGCTGTGGCTCCTATGTCATAATAGGAGCCAGTGCAGCTGGAGCTGTTTAGGTGACTAGTGTAACTTAATTAAATCTCTCAATTTTCCAGAAAATGCCCTGTACATTTTGAACATCTTGTTCTTCTTGGTCTTCAAATTGCCATGGAAACAGTCTATTTTTCAATATTTTCATGCTGCTTTTCCAGCCTGGTCAGAACCAGGAAGAGCAAAGGCAGTACAAAGCACAGCATGAACAGGCAGCTGGAATAGTTGGTCATAGAAGCCTGCATATAACTGAGTATAGATTTATTGATCCTTCAAGACCTTCTTGAGATTTTACCCTATTCAGAAGGAATTCTGAAGAGGGTAATTCTGAAGATGTTTACAAATCTAGGCCAATCATCATTTGAGGATGAAAGTGCCTATATGGACAGAAGATTCCACCAGAATTTATCAACAACTTGTGAGACGTGGACAAAGTGCCGATGAGGAACATCTAAGTCTGAATTTAAAACAACTCCAAGCTATATTTATGTTGTGGGTACAGTCCTGAGCTTTGACAGTGAACTGAACTGCTAAACATAAATATTACAAACAGGTACCAGTAGTGAGTATTGATTAGAATAGAGAAGTACTTCAATGTTTTAGTGAAAATAAAACCCATCTAAAATACGAACTAGGTAAGTTAATTGCTAAATTTTCTCTTTTGTGCTTTCATAATAGTTCTCCTAGTAAATAATTTTACCAGTCACTTTCAGACTTAGCAGCCAGAAAATGACAAAATGACAAAAAGGACAGATTTGCAGTTAGTGTTCAGCTTGACAGATATCTATTATGTAAAAACAGTAAATTATGCAAAAAGTACATTGAAATGAAGACACTGCAACTTGGAATACTTGATATGGACCTGCATAAAAAAGCAGTTTGGGGTTTATTTGAGGAATTACTTTGCATGTAAAAGGTCAACTGGTTTAGAGTATGCGTTCTTCTCAGTAATAAGGAAAGAATATTTCATCTACTGAAGGAGCAAAGGTATACATCTCCTAATGAAATCAGGCACATTAGAATCAGAATCAATGAGGTTGGAAAAGACCTTTAAGGTTAAGTCCAACCATCCCTCCAGGACTGCCAAGATCACCACTAAACCAAGTCACTCTCCTAAGAAAAGATGATTCAGTTTTAAATGTTTCATGGGAAAGAATAACCTAGCAAAAGTAGAGCAAATGGAAATCATCATGAATCTATGAGCTGAAACGCTGCAAATGTAAATTATTCAAGATGCAAGAGTTAAGTTCCATATCGTCAAAGAGGAACACAAAGAGTAAAAAGACCTTCCTGTGAAACGGGGAACAGCTGGAAAGTTCTAGTGCAGCGGGTGTAAATCCACAGGAGCTTTTCTTCCACCTCACTCAAATCAATTCTTGCTACATGTTTCTCCTTCTTCTATTTTTTCATTTGGGCAAAATCACAGCAGAGAACTTGGCACAGCCAAAAGCACATTCAACTGATTTTGCTCTAAGAGCATATGCACCAACACAGAATACTTATATAGTGTGCTGCGTGCACTCGCAGTCCAGAAAGCCAGCTGTATACTGGACTGCATCAAAACCAGTGTGACCAGCAGGTCATGGGAGGTGATCATGACCCTCTATGTTCTGCTCTTGTGAGATCCCACTTGGAGCACTGTGTGCAGTTCTGGTGTCCTCAACATAAGGAGGACATGGAACTGTTGGAGCAAGTCCAGAGGAGGCCACCAGGATGATCAGGGGCTGCAGCACCTCCCATACAAAGACAGGCTGAGAACATTGGGGCTGTTCAGCCTGGAGAAAAGAAGCTGCATGAAGACTTCAGAGCAGCTTCCAGCGTCTGAAGGGGGCCTAAAAGGATGCCAGAGAGGGACTCTCCAGTGACAGGACAAGGGGTGATGGGCTCAAACTGAAACAGGGGAAGTTCAGGTTAGATATGAGGACAAAGTTCTTCCATGTGAGGGTGGTGGGGTGCTGGCACAGGTTTCCCAAAGAAGCGGTAAATGCTCCATCCCTGGCAGTGTTCAAGGCCAGGCTGGACAAAGCCTTGGGTAACATGGTCTAGTGTGTCCGTGCCCATGGCAAGGGGTTGGAACTAGATGATCTTTAAGGTCCTTTCCAACCCTAACCATTCTACGATTCTATATAGAACAAAGTAGCTTTAGAACCTGACTAAAATGACACTACTTTTTATATATTCTTTTAACATCTGCTAAATAAGGGTTTTGACTCTGTTTCCTCACCCTGAAAAACGTTTTGATTAGTGTGTCACAACATAACACATTCTGAATTATGTTATGAATTGGTGCTGCAGAATCTAACATCTGATACGGCTGTGCAGATGTCCAGCATGATTCAGCAGGTTGAGACTTGAGCGGACTGCAGTGGTCATTACTGAATCAACTTCATAAGTGCCCTTTTCATTTCCATTTCACTTTGATGTTTCCGTTTTAATAATTTTCACATACTAAACATTGCCAAAAAATACCAGATTCACTTGATTCTTCAGTCAAACCAGAAATGACCAAGTTATTGTCTGAAGAGGTTTACAGCTTTCTTAAACCTATCTTGAATTTTGGGCCTATATAACCTGTATTTAAACAGAGTTACTTTGTTTTCCCAAAGAACTTTCTCATACCAAATCTGTAGCATCTGCATTTCAATGGATGTGCATGACAGTAAGGAATGGCATGGCTATGGAAAATCAGTGGTTTGCCTTTTGATTTCAAATGGAATTATGAATCTCCTGAAAAAGCAACTGCTTCAGAAGTGTGAATGTGTATAATCTGGGACAAGTTTAGGGGGTTTTGATGCATTTGAAAGACTGTATTTCAGATTTCAACTTCGAATGACTGGATAAAACTTTAAATTTCCATTCCCCCCCACACACATACACTTTCAAATGAATATTTCAGCACTGCAAAAGCAATCATCTGACTTTGCTAAAACCAGCATTTTCCATTTTCTGCCACCAAAAAAAAAAAAAGTTATTTTATTTCATTAGATCTAGTAATTTTGGCTATTGACTAAGCTTTACTTCCTGTAACTAGTGCTCATTGAAAGTAAGCAACTTACTAAAACCTAGAATTTTCATACAAATTTGTGTTAAGAATTTTAGCTTTAAGCCCTTCCACTATTAGTAATCTACAGGATGCCACGGCTCACACATGGAACGTCTTGGCTTGATACTACAGCGAACACTCTAGTTACTGAGGTGGAAGCTCCTATCTGGAAGTAAGTTGCTAAAATGCAGCTCATTCTTCAAAAGAAGTCCAGTAATCATCTCAGAACTTCATCTGAGGGATTGCCTCCTGTCAGCAGCAGCTACAGAACCAGGAAAGAATGCAATATCTCTTATTTTGCCAGGTGAGTTTTACTGTAAGCGTCTACTATGTGAGTGGCCTAACTATGAGTATTTTCATTCACCCTTTTTTATAAAACTAGGCACTAGAGCTGAGATTAAACTGAACCACAAGGAAGATGCCCTCTGCTTTCTGCCTGGGGTTATATGAGCCAGACTATTTGTAATTAAGAGACACAATGGGAGCAACAACCTCTTGGGCCTCAATTCTGATGTCCAGAACCCTATTTTCTAGTAATAACATCCAAAGGGTAAATCTGTTATTTTAATTGCAGGATTTTGTTCTCCACACAGCATTACCACACAGAACCTACCACGCTCACCAAGACACACAAAAAGGACGGGCTGGAGCTACTCGGCAACCGGTGAGCCTAAACATCTGAAATGTCACAGTGGAGAAGAGTTCAAATAGGTGAAACAGAGGATTACTCTAAAACAAACAGAAAGTTGGTTTGGTTTGGTCCGTACTACAAAAATACACACAGAGTGCTCAGTGGGATCAGGGAGGGGAATAACAGCAGGCCAGCTAGTCTGTCTGGAAAGCCAGTGCCGCCTTCTGCTCTGATGTTGGATGTCTTTTAACGTCAGCAAAGTTATTGGGTGGAATGACATAACCTTGAAGTCTGCGACCAAGACAGTTTAGTAGACCAACGTGGATATGTCAAGATGAAAGTGGGAAAGTTGTTTATTCAGGTGATTCCTGAAACATTTGAAAGGAGTGCTGCAAAGCAGAACTGACAGATGGGCTCAGTTGGGGAGAACAGAGGGAGTGTATCTGCTGTTTGGTGTCAGCTGCTTGCTGCTTAATGCCATCAGCTTGATTTCAACACCTATTCCCAACTGTATCCCCTGCAGCCGCGTGTGCTCATGCTGGACGCAGCCTTTACAGAGAAAAAAAAAGAATCCATAGAAGGGTGCATAATTTCTATTAGACAACACAGTTTTTTCACTCCCAGTTGCTTAATTCGTGTCTCATAACAGAGCACAGAATTCTCCCAAGCAAAATTTCCTTCTCTCTCTCAAAGCAACCCCAATAAACAAGGCATCCAACACATTTAGATACTTTATTCTCAGAAGAGAAACAGCTCTACAAGAAAACTTGATAATTCTATTTCATCTTTATGCTTCTTAAACCAGTTCTAACAACCCCAAGCCTTTAGACAACTTGTGAATTACTGACATATTTGAAAAGGTGTCATACTTCATTTTCATGCCGGAATCCATGAATGCTTTGAAAAAATTTCCCTGCACCTGTTTCTTGTGGAAAAGATAGGGTGAAGAGAAGAGAGCTTTGATCTTTTTTATAGACTATATGGGGTGCTTACTTTTAAGAGTCTTGATCTTGCATAGGCCTGTTAGGAGAATTTCTGGAATTTAAAAATGGCAGAAGGATGCCCTAAGATATAATCACCAGCTCAGCACTGACACAGTTTTGCAACAACAGGATTGTTAATGGCTGTTGCTGCTGCAGCAGAATTACAGTGCTTCTATAGAACATAGATCTTGCAAACTATACAGCAGTTTCACAGGAAAAATCATGCAAAGTATCACCTCAGAATTGGATGGGATACAGCAAAGATTTAATAGTTCTCCAACAGGCCATAAGTAAGGCAGAAACCAGAAAATTTCTCCTCCATATTAACTTCTAAAGGGAACTGAAAGAAATAAAAAGATTAGGCTAGAACTCAGATCCGGTTTCATGTACATGCTGAGGTATCATGTATAGCTGGCATTTATCTTATCATCTTTATTCCTAGGATTCAGTCTAAAAAATATCCACTAGCATCTTAGAGTACTCTAGACAAACATTCTAGTCACAAACTAATTTATTAGCATCTGAATTATGACAAAAAAATCTAGGAATTTTATTTTTTTAATTAAATAAAGCAGATTTTAATAGGGACTCTATGTTTTAGCTGCTGGTGTTTCCAATCCCGACAGTTAAACTACTTCACAGAAGCTGGGACTGAGTGTGGGAGTTAAGGAAAACTGTAAGCTCCAACCTACAAGGTTTAAGATAACACATTCTTACCTCCCTACTGAGCACAGTTTAAAAATGACCATGAGTGAACTAAAGTGTGGTCACTCATTCAGTCCCATCAGGTCAAAAACTCAAAAGAAGTCATGAACACAATTTGGCCCACTAAGACAGAATAAAAATGAATATAAAACCACCCATAAACAACTGATTATGTTATAATAGATCATTTCTAAAAACACAGAGAGTTCAAGGGCTAAACTTTTGACATATGAACAAAGGATAAAATGGACAGCTGGAAAATACATTTAAAATAAGCATATTTTTGTGGATTCCTCTCTTAGGCATTAGACCAAATCCAATTAAATTCAATGGTAACATTAACAATTACTTAAGTGGGCTTTGGACTGGAGCCTTATTGACTCCAGTTTGTTAGTGATATAAATACAGCAACTTGACTGAAGCTAATGGAATCACTTAAGGATTTTTTGAAAGGCAAAGAGCTAAGCACCCTCAGCTTTCCTGAGAGTAGGTGCTTAAGATTCCACACAGTACTGCCTCCCATCTATGTGAACAAGACTTGGTTTGTTGTGTTAGAAGTGCCAGTTTCTGATGAACTGAATTCCATGTCTTGCAAGCCTTTTTTGTGCATGAGTCTGGCCTGTGAAAGGGAACTGCTTAGCTATCTATTTTGGGCAACAAGTTAAAAGAAAGAAAAAAGAAACCCAAAGAAGGGGTGGTGGGACTGCATTGATTTATTGGCTTGTAAGAGACAGCAGGTGGTAGCGAGTAAAAGAGCCTCCCTGGTGTAAAAGAGCCACCTTGAAGTGGAATGAATGGGCAAAATAACCTGAGTCTGAACCATTAGCAAGTGTGTCTTATTTGGGCCAGTCAGCAAATGTTGCCAGGACATCAGTCCAGAGCAAATGTTTATGCTTGGATTGAATAAACTACAGGATATTAGGTGGCAAAATAGTACCGTATCTATCTTTGCTTTTCCTTGGATACTGCAACAAAACAGTCTAAAAAAGCAGTTGGAATGACACTTGGACTGAATATGTTTTACCCTTAGAAGTCCTGCTTTGGAAGGAATGCATGACAATTCTCTCCAAGTATATTTTTATATTTGAGAAGGGACTGTGATTTATTTCAAGGGGGATCCCACTTGGCTGCTTCCATTGTTACTGAACATTTAAGACATGCTAGAGTCATTCAACATGGTTTCTTTTACACAGATAGTATGAAAACCAAACATATACTTCATACAGATTTTCAGTTGCTGATTTTCAGCAGTGGTAGCAGATTTATAAAGAGTTCTTCCAGTTCTTCCAGCATTCCAGGAAGTCTGTGCCATTCTAGGAAAACAGAACACATTTTGTTCTGTTGAAAGTTACTTGGTAAGTTCATCCTATACAAATTGTGAAACACATTTGAAGTTAAATGGGTAATTTCCCCCTTGAGCCAGTGCAAGGCCAGTGTAAAGTTTACAATCCTTCCATTTACAATCCTAACAGCAACCAGCCTCAGCTACAAGTCCTTCATATTTATTCTCCAACAGTTGTTGGAAGAAAGAAAGTTGTTCTTTTCAACTCTCTGTGAAGCAACTCACTTGGCAATGAGAAAGGAGTTGTTAAAGTAGCCCTTATCACTAAGTACAATCAGTGGTATTCTGCTAGCTGATGCATAACAAAGGTGTGCCATATAGACCAAGCATCAACAGAAGACTATTTTCACCAAAAGCAAACCAGCTCCCTACACAAGGACGTATAGAAACTATACAACCCAGACTGCATTTTACAAAACTCAGTAGTCTGACTGTCCATTAGCATCAACAAGTAACAACAAGTAATGCTACCATTAGAAAAGTCAGTAAACTTAAAATCAGTTTACAGTGAGTGAGGCCTTTGAGTGTTGTTCTTCTTGGGTCTGAGCCATTTGAGTTTTTCTCAACCATTTAGCTCTTCCATATATCTTCTTCTGAAGGGTTCAGTACTTCCATGAGCTTAGAGTCATCTGTTCACAAAAGATCTGGTATGAAAAGTTGGTAAAACATACTATTTCCCATGCATTTTTCAATTACTTTGTTATTTAGGCAGGATTCATGTCAGATATAAGGCAGAAGTTCTTCCCTGTGAGGGTGCTGAGGTGCTGGAACAGGTTGTCCAAAGTGATGAATGCTCCATCCCTGGCAGTGTGCTCAAGGCCAAGCTGGACAGAGCCTTGGACAACATGGTCTAGTATGATGTATCCCTGCCCATGGTAGGGGGTTAAAACTGGATGATTTTATGGTCCTTTCCAACCCAAACCATTCTGTGATTCTATAATTCATTAATTATGGTGAGAACAGGTAGTTAATATAGACACTGTTAGTAAATGGATATTGGTGAAAAAGGGTTACTTTGACTTACGGAAAATTTACAACAGCGATGGCAAGTGACTCGAGTTCCATCTCTGCTGCATGTAGTCCTGCTGGAACCATCAAAGACATACTAGCACTGCAATAGCAACAACATTCTGCTTCATTTGTTGGAGACAGGGGAAACAGAATAGACAAAGAATAACTGCATATATCCAGTGGAGAAGCAGCATTAAACACAACCGCAGTGAGGATGACTCAAGGACTAGGATGTGGAACATATCATAGAATCATAGAATCACAGACTGGTTTGGGTCAGAGAGGACCTTAAAGCTTCCAATCCCTCGCCACGGGCAGGGACACCTCACACTACACCAGGCTGCTCCAAGCCCTGTCCAACCTGGCCTTGAACAGTGCCAGGGATGGGGCAGCCACAGCTTCTATGGGCAACCTGTGCCAGTGCCTCAGCACTCTCACAGGGAAGAACTTCTACCTAATGTCTAATGTAGATCTCCCCTCTGTCAGGTTAAAGCCATTCCCCATGTCCTGTCCCTACAGGCTCTTGTCCAAAGCCCATCTCCAGGTTTCTTGTAGCCCCTTCAGGTACAGGAGCTGCTCTAAGGTCTTCCCTTATGGAGCCTTCTCTTCTCCAGGCTGAACCAGCCCAGTTCTCTCAGCCTGGCTCCAGAGCAGAACTGCTCCAGCCCTCACAGCATCTCCAGGCTTCCTCTGGACTCACTCCAACAGCTCCATGTCCCTCTTGTGTTGAGGGCCGCAGAGCGGAACATAGGGCTGCAAGGGGATCTCGTGATCCAGCTGTCCCACAGGCGCAAATGCACCAGCTTTGGTGATTCACTCATTAAGTATGAGAAAAGAGACTACTCTCGCCCATGAACAGTTACAGTTCTTCAGCCTGAACAGTTCTGCCTTGGACCCTAAGACTTGAGCATCTGCATCTGACAAGATGTATCCCCCCACATTAAACTTTCAATAGAAGACAAAGGGTCCTTTAGTGTTCTGAAATGGTATTGTAAATAGGTAACATAACCCATATCCCTCTTTAGACTACCAAACCACCACAAGGAGACTATGCAGGTTCACAGAGAGTAATTTTATATGGAGGACAGCTAACAGATTTACACATAATCAAGACTTGATCAACAAATTCAAACTCCTCTGGTTCAGATGACTGTCATCTGCACAAAGAATTAAGTTTCATCTTGTGATGTACTAACTTCTCTTAATCCATTAAAATTATATCCCAATTTCAAATACTGTTTATTTGACAGATGTCTATTAATAAAACTGGTTGAATAGAACAGACATTGTATTTTCCTTTCAGAACTGCCAGTGTAGCCTTAGGCATTTTATTCCCTGTAGCAGGAGCAAGTCATGAAAGTCAGCATCCAAAAAACATCAAGCCCACTGTGAACACTCTTGTAGGGAAAGAAAAAATGCAAGCACTTCAATGTGCACTTTTCACAGTTCTCTTGCTTGCACTGATAATATATTTTTGAACAGGGGAAAGATAATCATCAACTTTATATGTAAAAGTTTCAATCATGTTATTAATATACCAATATTTTATTACATAAATCCCCTTGCTTTAGCTCTCCCTGGACTGTATCTGGCCTGAATGAAAGAATATTTGATTTTTGGGTATCTCCTCTTTCTTTTCCAGCCTGAAGAGAACTATTTGGCTTCTACACTACAGAACAGACTTTGCAAATTTTAGCTGTCATTGCATTGTCCTTGTTTGTTCTTCTCATTACAGAGAGGACAAGAGCGTTAAAAGCCCCAAATTAATTATTTATACAAAGGATCTCTGAAGAGCCAGGAGGGATTATTAAGACTCTTGTGTGCTGTGAAATTATTTACATGCTGGCAAGAGCAAACAGGCAACATTAGAAATACCTTTCCTAGCCTTTCAGAAAACACTGAAGCACTTTTCTCATGAAGTGCTGATCTTACTGGGAGGATGAAAGTTGCACAACTGACACACAGACAAAGGGCCATCCCCATTTGAGATTAAGAGAGTATGCAGAAGCCTCTCAGTACGGTTCATGATAATGTAGCACTGACTAATTAAGTAAATAAATCAGTGCCAGTTTTTGATCTATTTGTTTCACTGATGCTTAGATACAGTGAAGATAACGTGCCAGTGTTGTCATAATATACTGCTGAGAGTTTAAATGTCCCAAGCTCTTGTTTTCAAGAAAAATAATAGCTTACAGCTATTTAGGCCATTTAGAGATTACCTGGTAGACCTCACCATGGGACTGGAGTTTCATAGGAGCATGATAATTAGAGATGGAAAAGACCTATTAGATCACTGGGTTCATTCCTTGAAATTGCCTCACAGAGGGGGCATTGACTTTCAATGTACTTTGGATTACATCCATAGTTCCCAAGAGACAAAGAGAAAGGAATAGTAGATCATTTCCTGTAAACTGGTAAAAGCTCAGTACATCTGCTAGAAAATGAGTCTGCATCTGAGCTGCTGTACTGACCTTTCACAGAAGCCTTACGTGAAGCCTTTCACCTAACAAAAGCAGTGCACATGAGAGAAAGGATGAAAGACAAGTGATGAAAGAGTTGTATGGGAGTTTTGTATGTAAGCATTATCATGACTTATATTTTCCAAAGAAGGAAAAATGAAGATTTCTGATGGCACCGGAGCAGTGAACTGCATGCCTTACCAAATAACAGCGCAAATAAAAGCCAAAGCTGAGAAACGGCTACAGGCTGCAAACCTGTTTAATACTAAGCAAGAGTTTAAACTTAGAACAGACATGAATGGTGGCTACAGCACACTTATTAGAATGAAATCTGCAATCTGAAACTGTGTCTGAAATAAAAAAAAGTTCAGTTTAAAAAGAATTAAAAATCAATGTTTTAATCGCTGATTTCAAAACAACTGAAAGAGCATACAGTATCTCCATAATAAGGATAGGAACAATCCAAAAGGAAGCAAGTTACACTTGAAATATAATTTTTAAAATGTAATATATTTTTTAAATGGCTAAAATTATCTTAAGAAGCTGTCTCAGAGAAATCCAGAAAAGTAAGGTTCTGAAAAGCATGGTAAAAATGTGCTTTATACAAAAATGCAGAAGCCAATGATATCTGTGTGAATATGTGTTAAACTGACAAAGTGATTGTGGAGCACAGTGCAACTTAATCCTACTCTACAAAAGCTTCAGGAATCAGCATCAGCACAAATATAGGTAATCACTGATTTTATAGGAAAGCAATTCTAGAACAGTGATGCTTAAGGATGGCTTTAAAATCAGAACCACATTTGTTTTTTTCACTATGCAAACACAGTAAGAGATAGGCTTTAAAGGTTTTGTGATATAAAATAGAATGTGAATAGGAAGGAAAATAGAGGCCTGGAGAAAATCTTGCTCTGTGTCCAGGAGCAAGAAGTAGGTAAATGGAAGCACTCAGAAGAACGCTTAAACTGCCTGCCAGCATGTCCAGTGCTGTACTTGCTCCATTTTTAATCTTCATAATCACATTCAGAATAGAGAAGAAAACTATGTTCTGTGATGATCAGTGGCGGTGAATTAGTGAGGAAAAAGAAGGAAAAAGAAATCTGGTATTACATGTGCTTGTTTCTAGAGTTTCAGTTTTGGATATTGTCAAGAACAGATCCTTACATGCAAAAGTATGTATGTTAGCTATATCTGATTTACTGATGGAGATGTATTATAAAACATACATTTTTCTGCCCAATGATGCAAGAAGTCTGTTTCTCAACAGTTTCCTGGATACCAAAAACATACACAAGAATTCATTCACACATGAGATTAGTTTGATGGGATTTTTTCCTTTCACTACTGAGGAACAAAGGCAAATGAAAGCTAGAACCTTACACACATACACTTGTGTACATTCCAGTTTTAGGACAATTTTAATTTCAACAATAAATATTTCAGCATTAAAACTAAATAAAACAGACATTAAAGAGATAGCCATAGAAGGGATAAATACATC